GGGCAGCATGTTGTGCTGTCCCAGTGAACCGAAGGCTTTAAGCTGGCTTTTCAATGTTACATCATCTTATGCAATACACTCCTGCTGACATTGATAGAACGCACCTCTTTGTTCTCTCCCCCCCGGTTCATTTCCCTTTGAACGCAGTCCAAGTGGGACTTAGCTTCATCACTTTAAACAAAAAGAAGGATTCTCCTCGTGAGGGTTAAGAGCTGCTGAATCCCCCTAACCTATTGCAGTGATGAAAGCGATTTCCTGCCTTGCTGGAGATGGTTCCAATTTCACATTTGCTCAAAGGAGCTTCAGATTTTTACAGAGCATAATGAGTCTTTGAAATAAAGCTCCAGTTGGCTATTCCTTTATCTTAAACTCAAATTACTAGAGGATCTCGACTCCCTGGTTGTAGGCAGGGGCTCAGAGATGGTCCTACAAAGTGAGGTTCTGGGCACAGTCCGGAGATGTCAGTGTCCCAGAAAGGCCACGTTACGACGCTGTCACATATAATTGCATGCTCACATAGGGAGGCAGACATCCCGGTACCATGTAAGAACCCAAATAGAGCAGGGAGAATGAAGAACCCGGAATGTAATTATTAATTGTGGGTAAAAAAAGCTCAGCTGGAGTCTTTGTCTACGGACCTTCAATCAGTAGTTTGATTAGCAGAAAAGTTTGAAATCCACACTTACTAGCTGGTGGGAGAGGAGGGAGTTGGGGACTAGATGTTCACATGTATACATTTATTTTAAATATAAGCACCAGAATAGTGAGCATTTCACCACCACAGAGAAATTGTTCTTGCTTATAGGCATGAAAATGTGACTCTCAGGGTAACCATGTTCCCCTATTTTTACAGCAGTCATACTAACAGTGGGCTTGTCTATATGAACACTTAGTTTGCAGCAATCTGAGGTGTAAATCTTCCTCGCAGTAAGTGTGCATGTGGACCACAAAGCAGCTTAAACTGCGGAGTAAACAGGCCAATCAATGGCCTGTCAGTTCTGTGTGCTTCAGTGCATTTGATGCTGACAAAGTACTGGGACTGGCCTACCAGAGCCCCTGGACTGACACTTACTCTTTTCATCGGCTGCTTTTACCCATTCATAGCCTCACTTTACTGCGCTCCTCCCGAAGAAAGCAGCAAAGTGACCTTGTGTTAATAGAACAAAGATACATTCACCCTGACTGCAGCTCCTCTGTGCTGCCATTACGTTTTGACTTGTTACTCTTGCAGAAAGTTCATAAGAATGCTGTCAGACCCTGCTGTGTTGTAGCATTTCTTGGCTGCCAGCCACTCATTAAGAGGGTATAAATTGCTGAGCTAGAAATGTTAAATGAGGCAATGCTTGTGAGCACTCAGGACTGTTAGAAAAGCAGGCTACTCGCTAGCATCTTACATCTTTCCTGAAAGTGAGAGAATTGACACTGTCTAATCAGCTGAATGAGAGGTTTAAGAGAATAAGCATTTTAATCGCTAACGTGTGAATGGCACTATGAAAACTAAAGCATTTTCCTGTGTGATTGTGCATCACTCCCAACACTGCCACCAGAGAGGAGCTGCTGACCCCCATCTTCCCCTTGCTTGCTAGTCTTGTATATTCCCACCAGCTCTGCCTACTGACCTGAAGTGGTGTCAGTTGAGCCAGTTCACTAATTTTCCTTAACATGGAGGCATGGAATGTGAGTTGTTCCAATAATCAAACATCTTGGGTCATTAGCACTAGTGTTAATCCTGTCATTTTCAGAAGGTCATAACAAGTTTTGAGTTATTGTATGTCTGACCTATTTCCAAGTTCCGTGTTCCTTTGGTATTTGTCTTGCTCTCCTCCTGCTCTGTGCATCAGGTGTCCTCCAGTAGACTGATCCCAACCAGAGTGAATAGAGAGGACTTGAATCCCCTTGTAGCAGACTCTCTAGGGCTAGAGAAGCAGGTGAGGATCACACACAGTGCTTGGGCATACAGGGTGGAAAGCTTTTCTGCCCCATCTTGTGCTTCAGAATACTAGTTACTTGGCTCCCCCAATTCATGGACTTAGCCTGATGCTAAGGTAGCAACCAAAAAGCAGGGAACAGCGTAAAGAAGAAAATAGCTGATCCTGAGAAACCTTCAGTGCGTGAAGAGAAAGGTGCCCACAGAGACACTCTTGCTGAAGTGATAGAGGGGTGCCGAATGTTTTCCTGACTAAATCTGAGGTGGTGCTGATCTGACTGAAGGTGCAGGAACCTGGTTAGTGAAGCAGAAAGAAAATTACCATTTATGCTGAATTGAATTCAATGCCCAAGCTCCCAAGGTTGCTCCATTCTCCTAAAACAGGATATAGGAAACTTCCACTGAAATCAGTGGAAGCTGCCCATATTGAGCAGCAGAAGAGGATCCCAGCATTTGGTGAGATATGTGTGCATTGAGCCCTCTTGAAATAGCTGGATGGTCGAATGCACGGATTCTCAAACTGGGGGTTGTGACTCCTCAGGGGGTTGCGAGGTTGTTAAATGGGGGTTGCGAGCTGTCAACCTCCACCCCCAACCCCGCTTCGCCTCCAGTATTTATAATAGTGTTAAATATTTTTTTTAAAAGTTTTATTTTAATTTATAAAGGTGGGGGAGGGTGTTGTACTCAGAGGCTTGCTGTTTGAAAGGGGTCACCAATAGAAAAGTCTGAGAACCAGTGCAAACTCATTGTATTTGACTGATGCAGGCCCAAGATGCTGGAAATTGAGTTCACAGACAGCTGCATTGGACTGTGCTGTTCTGTAGCCCAAGTACCAAGAAAGGCAATGAGCAATTGTAGCAGTCTCACTCAGGAGCTGGTATTTGCTGTTGGCTTTGGGCCTGGCTTTTTGGCCATTACTGGGCTTTCTTTGAGTGTAAGAACTGGAAAGCTGGCTTTCCTCACAGTGCTTTGCCTTGCTGGGTGTGTTCATGCACCTCCACGCAGTAGCCAACACCAGATTATTGTAGGTTGCAGTGTTGGTGAGGCCAGGCTGTGCTCAGATGCTGGGATTCTGAGGCTTGGATCCAATATCTGTACTGGAATATGAACATTGTCTCTAAATCAATATAATGCTCTCTCTCAAATACATACCTCTCATTTTACGTCTTAGATCTATTTTATGTTTGTTCTATTCTTGCCAGCCACACGACTCCAGTGAAACACTGCAGCTTAACTGAAACGCCACGAGGGGACGGCTTTCTCTTGGTGTCTGTTTTGAGGCAGTATCGTAAGCATATCAGTCTCCCAATATTTGTCAGTTTAGATCATATTTGAGGCTGACTGCTCTGGTCTACTAAAGGTGCATGAATATTCGTAGTGAGAGACCAGTTTGGCCTGGACAAATTAGGGATAGACTATGACTCATTTCCCTAGTGTAGGATATTCCCTCCCTGAGATTCACAAGGAGATTTCTTTCCAATTCCATTACACATGTTCATTGCAATGTGCTAAAGGCCATTGTTTGTTCTTTCCCATTTATGTGTAAGCTCCACTCATTTTGCCGATCAGCTCAATGCTGAATCCTTTTGGAAATCCCCACTAATTTTCTCCTTGCATCAAATGCATAACTTACACTGCCATTGACACCAGTGATGAATTTGGCCCCTTGTATCAAACGTTCTCTGCTACATAAAATGAATAGTGCTGGTGAATATAAAAACAGGCTAAGTAGAAGTAGCTGTTTGTTGCTTGTAACGAGCACATAGTTTAAGCTTGACAACACTGATATTAAGCCACTCTCCTCTATTCGCCTCTGCTGCTTATGTTTATCTTCCAAGGCTTTAGCGTTAGCTCTCCTGGTTCCTGACTTGTTCAATAAAGTCCTTTGTCCCTCTGTTCCATATGAATGGTATTTGCTATTGGTTTATGGCATGGGTATTTCAAATGCCATTTGCAACGGCCCTCATCTTTAATACATAGGTACAGCCCTCAGATGCTACAGGTCCCAGCCTGCAGTGGTCCCTCTGGTGACTGTAGTCAGTGTTGTTTGATGCAAATTGGGTGTAGTCCTTCAGCTCTTGGCCAGTTTGCCGGTGCATCTTACGGTTCGGGAAAGACCAGCTGCTCCAATGAATAGAGGCCTTCTTTTTAATCCACCATATTGACTAAACTGCATAAATAGCATTACCTTTCCAGTGGCTGCTTCCCTTCAGAACCCACCCCAGCGTATGCCCGGGTACTCGGAGGAGCATTCGACTGTTTGAATTTTCAGGGAACACAAGATTTTAAGCCGACGTGATCAGGGCCTAGATGTTTTCACTTTTGAATTTAGGATTGTTCTTCTCATGACTGCTTCAGTCTCTGCTCAACTTCCCTGCACCCGTCTCCATGATACAGCCTTGTATCTAGCACATGCTGTGCCTCTGTTGGACTGGCTAGTGGCTGGTCCTGCTGGAAAAAGGAACCTGGCAAGTCCTCAGTCACTTCCTGTCACTTGAACTTGGCATGTGTATTGCCATTCGTGGCATAATACGAATATCATCTCTGAATAATGGCTGATATTCAGCTAGTGTCTGTGTTGCTCTCACTGCTTTTCCTTTTACTGTGTGTCTTCCATGTTTTCCTTCATCTTACTTTTCCCCTCTCCTGTAGCAGCTATAACTGTACTAATTTCATCTCTATATTGCCCTGGGTCCATTGATTTCTTTTGTTAATTGAGAATGCTTTGTTCCTAGTATGCCTGCTGTTTAGGGTGCTATTTAGTGCAGCACTGTTCAGGAAGAAATATATTTCTCTATTTAAAAACGACTAATTCATTGGGAGCTGGGTGGCTTTGGGCACTGAATTTTCACTGATTGAGATCGGGGCTCAAATTTAGCTTGGGTGGCTGAGAGAAGAATTGAGTGGTGATCTCGGCGGGGATGCACGAACACATGCACTTTGGCACAACTGGTAGATGACCAGGCACCAGTGTAGAAGATGCTGCTGTTCAGGGTGGCAGAGTGGTGAGGGGCACAGGATGGAATTGCAGGGCTGCAGCAGATGCATTGATAGAACTATGCATGTGCTTTAGTCTTAGTATGGGGATGGCTGGTACTTGGGTAGCGAGTCAGGCAGATCAGAGGACTGTAAGGTACAGGTTAGCCTTCCCTTTGCTGTTGGAAATAGCTCTGCAGGCTGGAGAGTGAAGGACAGTAGAGTTAGTATGTGGTGCAATCTGTATTTTTAAAACTCCTCGACGCAGCTCTACTACAAGAACCTGCTTTACTACACAAAGCTGCTTTTGTTTGGGCAGGAGGTCATGTGAAGAGGAAGAGTTAGAGATTCTTAGTTGCCCCTGAGCTGCTTTCAAAACCATGGTCCCTGTGGCCATTGAGTCATTGATGTCAAACACTCTTAGTAAATTGTAAGGAAAGTTCAGGTACCGTGTCCAGGGTTACCATGTGTGGCTTTCAAGGACAGTAAAATGGAACACAGTCTACAAGAGAACGCTGCCATTCTTAATAAAACCGCTGTTTAAGTGGGTTTAGCCTGTAGCAGAATGGACGGTGCCTGAGGCTTCCTTTCTAATGCTTCAATGTGTTGTCCAGCCTCTTGTGTGCTTTCACATCTCTCCACTTCGCTCACATTGCTGTTTTTTTTGTGTTTTTTTTTTTAGTGTTTGTGAACTAAATTCACACTTGTGGCCTCTTATATCCTTGGTCTGTTTTGTCTGTCTTTCTGTCCACTCCGTGTCTCACTCTCTGCAGAACCTCCACCAGCTCAAACAGATTCACACCCTGAGGCAGATGAATGAGCAGCTGTTGGCTGAAAACAGGGCCTTGACCCGGGTCGTAGCCAGGCTCTCAGCGTCCACCGAGCCCCCAGAATCAGAAGAGCTATAGCTTCTTCCCCTCCAGTTCACCTCGCCTCCTTCCTTTATTCCAGGCAGGTCTTTACTGTTATTGTCTGAACTGTCCCTTGCCCCTTTTAACTCTTCATGAAGGTGTTTGGTAAGCCTGTGGCTCAAAACACAGCATGTGGCAAAGGGGTGGTGGGCAAAGGATTCTCCCCGCACACTCTTAAAAAAAACCAACCTTCCAGCATGACATAGTTCTGTGTTTGTACCCAGAGTTTTAGAGTACACTGCATTTGGCTTCTCTGCTCTCTGCCCCACCTTGGAGATGCTGGCCTCATCGCTTTTGCAAATAACTCATACTCCAGGGATGCATTTTCCATGTGTGGGCTTGAGATTGGAGAGCATCGTGCTGCGTAAATGGAAGACTTCAACCCCTCCCCCCTTTTCTCAAAAACTCCTGAGCTGAGGACACAGTAGGGGCTGGAGTGGATAACAAACTGCTACTCAAAACCAGAATATTTGTCCTCATGCTCTCCTGGGACTCTTAATGCTGATAAATGGACGTGTTACATTGAGTCTGCCAGCACCATCTATTATGTCTTAAAGTGGGAGCATTTATTGCAGCATGTAATTGATCATACCAGGTACTATGAGTCGCTCTTATTTCACCTTGGTAGAGCTGTATCAGAAGTCAGTAGCTAGCAACTAATACTCACTGCCTGTGACACCAGGATTATCTGAAGTCAGCATTAACGTCCTGCTGGGGACACTGTGAATAAGCATTACACATCTCAGATGAGAGAGCTGTTTATAAAAGTCTGGCACTTAGCAGTTGAAAGCTGTGTTCTTTTTAACTTTACTTGTATAAGGAAACCGTTTGTCCCCCTCTGTGTTTTGAAGGGCACTTGTTGACTGGGACTTTAATGCAGCATTTACAATATCCCCCAAGCAATCTGTTTAAAGGTTAACATGAGCAGGTAGGAGGCATGCAAGATGCATTTGCTTTTTCCACAATTGTTAAATTTACTGCCGAGCAATTACTGTTTGAAAGCCCCAAAGTTGTCTGTTTCGATCAGCTTTGAGCATCACATGCCATGCAGTTAGGTCTCTTCTGTCATGCTTTTTCTTGCTCAGTGTTAAAATTAAGAGAACTAAAAATGTAAATCCTAACTGTCCCCTTCAAGTCTGTCAGTCTTGTGCCAGGTTAGTTCAGAGGTACATGGGCACACTCAGATATAACTAGGGAGGCAATGTGTTCCAGTCCTTGGAGCTAGGAGACTCATTCGTATTAGAAATAAGGTACAAATCTGTAACAGTGTGGGTGATTAATCATTGGGAGAAACTACCAAGGGAAGGGGTGGAGTCCCCATCTCTTGAGATATTCAGATCAACACTGGATGTCTTTCTAGAAGATGCACTTCAGCTAAACCCAAGTTTAGGCTCAGTACAAGTGTACCTGGGCAAAAATCTCTGGCCTGCGTAAGAGGATGTCAGACTAGATCAGGGGTCGGCAACCTTTCAGAAGTGGTGTGCCAAGTCTTCATTTATTCACTCTCATTTAAGGTTTTGTGTGCCAGTAATACATTTTAACGTTTTTAGAAGATCTCTTTCTATAAGTCTATATAATATATAACTAAACTATTGTATGTAAAGTAAATAAGGTTTTTAAAATGTTTAAGAAGCTTCATTATAAATAAAATGCATAAATTAAAATGCAGAACCTCCCCCAGACCGGTGGCCAGGAACTTGGGCAGTATAAGTGCCACTGAAAATCAGCTTGCGTGCTGCCTTCGGCACGCGTGCCATAGGTTGCCTACCCCTGCACTAGATGATCTAATGGTCCCCTCCTGGCTCTGCTGCTGACTCATTTATGACCTTAAACAGGAAACCAAACCTTGGTTTCCCATCTGGATAATGAAAAAAATGGTTACCCTCCTTTTTAAAGTGCCTTGATCAACGAATGAAAACTGACAAGTATTTTCATCCCCATTAACCACTCCATATGCCAGGGTGATGGTGCCATTTCTCAAAGGGTTTTATTTAATTTTCAAAAAATCCCCATCCCTTCGAAAGGTCTCCATCACTTTCTCTTTCCAGTCACACCCTCACTTGTACCTGACAGGTGACAGATAAGTGAAGTTCATATGCAATACTTGCACATGTAGGATTCGCTTTACCATATTGTTACACCAGTCAAACAACGCTGGAAGGGATGTCCTGAGGACTGAATTCCCGCTGCTGTGTTGGTTCAGCTCGTTCACTTTCAGTATTGTATTGACCAGAAAAGTGTTCAGCTGTCTGTCCTAGTCATTGTCAATCTGCTTTGTGTCTAACTCACTTTACAAGACTCCAGTTTGCTTTACAGTGAAACAGATAGGGAACTGGTACATTCAGCAAGTAAGGGTGAGGAGGGGGGATGGTATTTTAAAAGCTTGGCTTTCTGCAGTCAAGCAGTCAGGTCTGTTCTACTTTCAGAAGCTCCCTTGGGAGTAGTTGGTTTCTTTGTGCAGGGCTGAACCTTTTTAGAAGTACTTGTTTTATTGTTAAAGTTGCATTCTTACTGGTGCAATAAATCACCAAACCTTGGTGGACCTTGCTTGTAAAACGTGACCAAGCTCCAAGCTTCCAGTAAGCAGTTAATATTGAGACACTGCTATGTAACCTCTTTCACTCCTTATGGGAACCCATGACAGATTTACCTGTTCCCAAACCAGGAGACACCAACTAGAGGGTCCCCCACAGCCATCTGGATTTGTTCAAGACTTCACAATACACCAGAATCCACCAAACAGAGATGTAGAGAGGACACCAGCTTCTGGGAAGCTTTGCTTGTCTGGAAACTGAATCCTGACATGCAAACAGGAACTAATGTGATTAAACTGACTAGGTCTGTTGACCCAGCAGTTTGTGTATGGCTGTGCTGAGTCTTGCTTGGGCTGCAAATTGAGTTGGAAGGCAGGAGAGAAGCAACCAGATACCAAATGCTTTCCCCATGTCACATGGTCTCTTGGGACTACAGTGATGTACGGTGTCCTCCATCCACCTAACAGTGGCAAGTTACCGTATATACTCGTTCATAAGCCGAATTTTTTTAGTAAAAAAGGGAAGCACCAGAGAAGGGGATCAGCTTATGAACGGGTATAGAGAGGGAGAGGTGGGACACAGCCCCTCCCCCCAACAGAGGGAGCAAGGAGAGGCAGCAGAGCCAGAAGGGAAGAGGCGGGGCCAGAGTCTCTCCTCTTCTGGCCACATTGCTCTCCCCCCAGTCTCCGAAGCATCTGCAGCTCCGGGGCTGGCAGGCTGCAGCCATGCTGCTCGGCCCCGCCCCCAGAGCACGCTGTGGCCGTGCCACCTGGCCCAGCCCACTGGAACATGCTGCAGCCGCGCAGCCCAGTCTGGCCCGCCGGAGCAGGCTACGGCCATGCTGCCCAGAGACATCCTCCCCTGGCCCGCCCCAGATAAGGTGGGATGGGATGGGGAGAGTGTGGGGGTCCCGGGCTAGGGGTGGGATCATGTGGGGGGTGGTCACAGGGGTTACTCCTGTGACCCCCAGCTTCTCCCCCCCAAAACATTTCCCCACCAGTTGCTGTCCCGACCCATCAGGGTAAGCAGCTGGCGCACCGGGACACTTTGTTTACTTAGGTTTACCTCCGTGCCTGTGGACGCGAGGTAAAGAAACCATCTCGACCCACCAGCAGCTTATCCTGATGGCCCGGGAGCCAAAGTTTGCTGACCCCTGAATTATAGGGTCGGCTTATGAACGAGTTATAAAAAAAAATTCCATTTTTACTTATCCATCTTGGGGGGGTCGGCTTATAAACGAACCAGCTTATGATAGAGTATATACGGTAGTTGGTTTTTTATTGGTAAAACTGACCTATTGCTTAAATGCCAATAAAAATAATCCAAACAAACGCTTGCCTTTCAAACCAACACACAGACCAACAGCACAACCATTAAAAACAAAACAAAAGATCACTCGTTAAATCCCCACCCTACCCTTGGTCTCCACAACCACATTACGCGCACCTCCTTCCCTCATACAAACCATGCAGCCTTTAACTCAGACAACGTGGCATGGTTACCTTCTCTTTGGCATGCTGAATGCCATTGTGCAGTGGTAGACGTTTGTGGGGGCAGTGTAGATTTGTAGTTTAAGCCTGCTTTGTTGGCTTCACTGTTAATGGAGGGAATTGCTTAAGTGGAAATAGTGTGTAATAGTGTGTTTCACTCTTGGGAGTTGTCTGTTGGCAGCAGTGTTAATGTAGGTGATCTAATGAGGAAGTAGGGTTGTTTTTTTCCAGTAGCTGTTTGTGGTATGAACTGAGTTTGCATGTTAGCTAGTGAATTCTTGGCTCCTTATGGGTGTGCTGGATTGTTCCACTTGAGCCAAATAAAAAGATTCTTAAAGATTTGTGATTTTGTTTGGGGGACTTTCCCAGGTTTTTAAAATCCATCTCAACATTGATATTAATTGACATGGATAACTTATCAGTGTTGCCTATCGTTGTCCTCAACCTATCCAGTTTTCAATCGATTGTGGCAGCCATGAGTCCAGCGCTTAATCTATACCAGTGTGATCCATGAGAATTTTTTCATAGCACAGTTTAGTGTAGACAAGACTAATCTTGTTGGATGTAAACTGCCCTGTCCTCTACCTGGAATTTCTGACTTGGCCATTTAAAGTTGACCTACAGGGGGGGAAATGGGTTTGTGACCCTTTCAGCTTTGTGTGGCCATACCTGAAAGGCTTTGAAAACATACTGTTTACCCCGGAGGACTGGTGCAATGACATCCCAAGAGGGGAAGGGAATAGTCCGCTACTGTTTTGATTTTAACACCTATTAACTGAAATTACTAATGAACACTATACAGGAAGGAAGGATTTGCTCTGTCAATGTCTTCCTCCTCCTTCAGGTGCAGTATGAAAGCTTGCAATACACAGCCCTCAGATCCTCCAGAAAAGTCAGGGATGACCAGACTTGCATCTGATTTTTTACTAAGGGCTTGTCTACACTTACCCAGGGATCGACGCATCGGCGGACAATTTAGCGGGTTTAGTGAAGACCTGCTAAATCAACCGCAGATTGCTCTCCCGTTAACTCCTGTACTCCACCAGATCGAGAAGAGTAGGGGGAGGCAACGGGAGAGCATAGTGTGGACGCTATTAACATAAATCTTTCCGGTCTCCTTTGTCTATCATAAAGAGGCAAAAACAGGGCATGCACGTAACTTTCTAAAAATACTTCAGGTCACCCTCAGTCAGTCTGTCAATCGTAACTAGCCATTGGCAATCAATTCACGATCTAATGATCAAGCTCTAAAATGATTCCCTCATCCTAGCCCTGCCTTTGTCCTGCTGCTTAACTCATTTCATGTAGTGCTGGCGTAACTTTAAGAAAGAATGCTGTCTCCGAACCTCCCACTCTGGGTCCTTTGGCTTGTCCAGAGAGCTGCCTCCGTGGCCGCACCTGTTCCCATTTCTCGAAAGGGCTGATCAGAATTGCAGAGGGTTTTGGAAAATCTCATAAATGTGCTGACTGCCCCCAGCAAGCAGCAGATGGGAAGTGTTCGGTACTGAAAGCACTCCGCACTCATCCCCTGTCACTCCAGCTTTGAGTCTCCTGGACTGCTGTAATTCACTGTGTATGTTCCTTTCCACCGGCCGCTGGCTCCCATTAGCCTGGTGAGGCTTTTGTGATGGTAACAATGAGCTGTGTAACCCTTCCCCTGCCTTTGTCTTTGTGCAGGTTTTGACAGAGCTGAAGTCCGACAATCAGAGGCTGAAAGATGAAAATGGAGCACTCATCCGTGTCATCAGCAAACTCTCCAAGTAGGACGTCGGAGGGAAGGAAGGAAGGAGGGGGCTTCTCTGCACAAGCTGCCAACCCTGCCACCCAGCCCCCAACCGCCTCTTGCCCTCCAATCAAAAGTACAGCAAGCCTTTCAGCCGTGGGAACAATGCGCCTCGCACTCCCCCGTCCCGTCCCCTCATTGTACATTCCCTTAGCACCCCTCTGAATGCACCCCCAGCCATTTTATTATTTTAATTTAAGCATGTCGTGGTATCTTGGACATTTTATTCAAGGGGAAAAGAGACATGAGAGCTGGGTTTGAGCTGCCAAAACTTCCTGCCACAAACCCAGCCTTGTCCACATTGGACTCCAGTCTGGAGCAGAGAAGCTTCTACTGTAATAAGCGATACAGAAATGACTCTGTAGAAGTGATCCGACGGGTCCAGAACCTTTGTAGCTGGGGGCAGGGGGACATGGGCGGGAGTTGTCACACTGAGGGTGTACGTCAGCTGCCCACTTGGCGTTGGGGGTCCGGTTACAATGTGATGCTGTGAAAGCCACGGGGGCTCGTTTCTGTGACAGACTGTGACGACAGCTGCTTTGCACGGAGGCTCTGTTCTCCTGTCATCCCAGTAGCTGACTCTATTTAACGTACGATTTTAAATCTGTTTGCTATCTTCATTTCTGAATCCCAGTTTCAGACCCACCCCCCCGCCCGCCCATTGCCCATGCTTCATTTCTGCAGCCCAGGCAATCGTGGGTCACTCTGTACTCCTTCCACAGTTGCTGTCTCGGTTACTATCCAGGTAATAGCATCTGCTAATTGCATCTGGGCTCTTTCCTCTTGGGATAAGATTCATTGCTGATATTGGCCGGGGTCTCTGATGAAGGAGAAACTGAAGCAGCAGAGGTCACCTGCTGCCCTCACATGCACATGTAACAAATCTGGGTTTGAATATCCATGCAGGGAGGTACGCATGCACAAATAACCAACCCCCATCTTCTTCCAGTAGCAACAGAATGAGCATTTGTCTGTTAGTGTTACTTACAGGATAGCACCCTGCAAAGTACTCGGAGCAGATGTCTGGTGTACTTGTTTTAATTTCCAACAAGAGCAAAAACGAATGAAAATACAGGTGTATTTTGAGTTGGCTTTAAAGAGGAGAGGGTGGAGAGGCTGTATTTGGCTACAAAAAGGATAGCCCGGCCTTTGATGGCAAATCCTGACACAGCTAATACAGCAAGGTTGAGAAACCTTAAGCAATGATCAGTTGCCAGCTCCATGTCATTAGAGGGTGTAACTGTTTTCATTTAATAGTGGCCAGAATGAGCCAGTTTTGGGGTGTGTACTGGTAACCAGATCTGTGGGGTAAACTGTTTTGATTGCTGGAAGCTAGCAACAGGATTTGACATGGATGAAAACCTCAAAGGGCTCTTTCATGTCCTGTGTACTTGGAACAATTTGGAAGTGTTCACTTCCAAGGGCATTAAGAAGGTGACTCCTCCAGATGTTACACACGTCTCTTTCTAGCTTCCAGTGGAAGCCGGGCATTAACTTGTTAACACATCTGCTGAGTCTACCATTAGAGAACTACTTGTGGTGGGTTCGGGAAAGGACCCTCCTTGTTCAGAGATTCCAGCGCTGGCGCAGAAGATGTGAGTCTAGCCACTATGTTGACAGGGACAGATGAGTAACTTGAACATGGATATTATTCTCATCATTGCTCAACAGGGTAAAGTCTAACTTTGTCTTTAGCATCTCGGTTATTGCATCAGTAGGTGTTGGCCTGAGGCAAAGTTTCTTATCTCCCTTCTATTTTTTGTATCCAAAACTTGGTTTTGCACCTACTCTCCAGCTCCTGTGGTGCATCCACCATCCTCTCAGCTGAGCAGGATGACAAGACCCACTTCGGAGCCTCAGTGGCATTGCTTGTGTGTGATGCGAGACATCACTTTTCCTCCGAATGCATTGAGTTGTTGCAACTGCAACACATCTAGTCCAGAGGGGAAGAGATCAAAGCCAATCATGGCACCTGGGCCTTCTGCATAGCACTGTCTCTGAGCCAGGGATCCATTTTATTCCTTCTAGAACTTCATAGCATCCGGAATTAAAATGGGCAAATGCTTATCTGGTTTAATTCCTCACACCTTATCCAAACGCTGCTCTCCTCTAGTAAGCACTTGTTCTCTGGGGTTTTCCCCATCCCCCTGGAATTTTCATTTTATGGCCCACTGCTTGCTTCAGTTTTGGACTGTTAAGTCTAGATGTGACAGGAGGTTGCTCACTTCCTATGTATGTGGAGGTAGAGGTTCTACACCTGTCAGTGGGCTACGGAGAGCAATGCCTTTCAGCTGGCTGGTATGCTATTGCGAGTCTCTCATGAACATGTTTTCCATTGGACAAGAACCACTGTCTGTTTTTTCAATACTCCAGTCTGCAGTATTCCATTCTGCACTATGAGTTTGCCACTACCTACCTGGACCATTAAAAAGACAAAATTCAGGGAATCCTTCTTCTTTACTGCACTTGATCCTAACGAAGAATCTGCAATAGGTAATATGGGATGCAAGAGGCATGAATCTCATGTAGTACCGTGTGAAGCCAAGACACTTTAAATTAGGTGTCTGTTTAGCACTAGGTTTATCATCCTAATCTCTGTCTAGGCTAGAACTCAGAACAAAAATTTAATGTCATTGACTAGCCAGAGCTACAAGCATTTCATAGTGATACAATGCTGTTGTACACCAACTCGGTCAGAATGTTTCTTGGGCTCAGTTGACCTTTGCTGACTTAACTATCCCACTGAGGAGATACAATGCAAGACACACGGCTTTCTACTCTCAAGGCAGAGTGCAGTTTTTTTAAAATGTTCCCTATTTTAATCCATAGCATTTGCCAGTGGTCTCCCCTAGAACGCACTAGAGCTTTTTCCAAGCAATTGCTTGGGGGTGAACCCATTTTTATAACTTGCAGCTGCAATAGCTGAGGGACAGTTTTAATGTGCTTCTTAATTTATCTAGCAGGCTTTCCTGGTAAATTATTTCCCCATAACAAGCAGAATTCACACCTGTCTTTTTAACTGGCAGTGAAATCTAGAGAAGTGTTTCTTCTGCATAAAAATTGCTCCATTTTCTCGGCATGCAAGGATTAGATTTTAGCCAGGTTGTATGCAAGGATGACCTAGCATTGCAGTGACTCCTAGAATTTTCTCTGTCAAATAGAAATTTGGTGAGGAGGAAAACGTGGAAGTTTAGATCTGTGTGTTCTAAACACACTTGGGAAAGGTGGAAAGTGCAGGGTGTGTGAGAATTCTGTTTAAATTGAGAGAGGAGTCCTCTGCCTCTTACAGCTACTTTCCCACCCACAAAAGACTTGCATCAAAGCTGAACTTCAGAAATACCCTCGCACCTTTTGAAGTGCTTGCATATCTCTTATAAATCCTTATGCTGCAAGCTCTGTGCAACTCTGCCTTTGACTAGCTGGGCCATGTAGGCCACAAAGGGCCACAGACATAACCTGAAATGAGGAAGAAATGTTCTTGAGTGGGTTTGTTTCATTGCTCACAAATTGGGAAACCAGGGTTTATTGAAGTGGGAGCGAGTCTGTTTGTCAAAGGTGAGTTTCGGGTGAAATCGAAGGCTTGCTAAGAGGGGTACCTGGGGTGTTGGAGTTTGCAAAAAAGCACTCTCCACTTGCATAGGGAATGTAGCTAGTCTTGAAAGCTGCTAATGTGGGACAAATCTGGAGTGATGGGCTGTATTGGCTGGAGATTAAGGTGGGCGTTCATATTTTTGAGTAAACGTGAATGAATTGGAGGTCATTGCACAGGAGTGACCTCTGAGCTATTAAAGGACAATGCATTTCTTAAAAAAGAGAACAGAGGCAAAGCGGAGTCTGTATAGGATAGGTGTATTGTCAGTGTGGCTTCAGTTCTGTTACACCATGTGACTGGAGATTTTATCTAATGGATATTGATGTGGGACAGTAGTGACAGCAGCTCGCTGTACCAATATTGATCTGCTGTGTGTTGAAGTAGTGAATTGATTAGTGTAGAGAGCAGCCAAATGTGCCTCAGCCAATCAGAGAGCAACTTATCTGCAGTGGTGCAGGTTTTTTAAGTGTACTGCACTCTTACGAATAAGCTGGTTTCAGACTGGTTAAGGGTTTTTGTGTCTTTTTAGTTTTGATCAGTGAATAAGTCGGCCATACAGAAATCGGATTGGCTGGCACAGTCTCCAGGTAATTTTACAGCACTTCCATTTCATCATAAAGTGCGGCAGATAATACCCAGTTGGTTTGGGCTTTCACCGGCCATTACAGGTCTTTTTCCCTTACAGCTATCAGTTATAAGACACTGGAGTATGACCAATAATCAATCGGTTGACAAAGTGCATGTGACGCAGGTATTGTACTACTCTCTTTGAATTGTGATGTGTCCATTGGTGAAAGGTCAGTTCAGTCCCAACTCTGTTTGGAAGGACCTGATTTAAAGGCATCCGGATTATGTGCATTGTGGAAATGTCTCAGAATGAAGAGCCTGCTAATCTGGGCTAGTGAACAATTGTGCTCGAGTCTAGTTGGTGGGAAGCAAGTTAGGTTGTTTTCAAAGCCATTCTGTACAAAGCTTGTCAATCCATAACACACTTCAGCCCCCTGCAGGGGAAAGGATGTTCCAACCCTGATTCTGCCCATCATGCTTGGGGCTGAGCGAGCTGGTAAGAACTTCACCATGTTTGCCCGGGATAGGTTGAAGAAATCTCGCCATTGCTAATAGAGAACATTCTCCTTGCTGACTGCAATACCTAGGGCGAGTCTCCAGCAACCGATAAGCCCTCAGAGATGAAGGCTAGGTTTTCCTGGATTTGTCTCATTCATCCATCAGCTAGGTAGAACCTCTAACTTCCAAGGGTAACGGAGTCTCAGGCCACGCTTTGAAATGCTGGTCATGTTGTACATATGCTTTAAAGTTTCCACTTCTCTCTCCTTTCCTGTCCTCCTCCACCAAAGGCCGTAGCTCCTATTGCTTTTTCTAGGCTATTGCACTGCCGATATGCTCATAGTGCTTAAATGTTCTCTCCTTCTTCCTGGCTCTGAGTGAGGGAACTGCCCGAAAAATTCCGAGTGACCTCGCTGGGATAAATAAAGTGCTGATTTGCACTGAGCCAGCACGGGAGCTATCCTTACCACGTTTGGGTGTTGAAAATGAATCTAGGTCTGGGATCTTTGTGATGCTGAACAGAATTCAGAGGTGGTCCACAAAATATGGCTGTGTGGAAAAGGTATGTGTTCTAACCATACAGGTCTTCCCTAATTCAGAGCCGCCAGCATTGGTGTATAGGGTTGCTTAGTTTTGTGTCCTTGGCAATAACATACTGAAGAAATGCTCCCTTTTGCTAGCTAGTGGTCAGGTCTTTTGATGTACCGGGGAGTTCTCTTGCGTAGACTTGTCCAGAGCCCATTTCAGAGGGAGGAAGAGTTGTCTTGCCACCAGTCTGAGCTTCACCTGCAGTTGTTCCGGGGTAAAAGGATCTGGTAGTGACTGATCACTCCCCATGAATGCAGGCTGTGGAAGGCCTATGTCGGCCTGCTGTTGCTGTTAACAGGCTGATCAGCCTTACTAGACTGCAGGAAGGCGAAGAGAATGAAGACTGTCCGAGCTTTGCAGCTGTCATTGGTGAGAGGAATCTCTGAAGCTGGAGTTCTTGTCTGACACTTCCAAATCGACTCTGGCTGGATTCACGATCCTTTGTTTTGCAGTAGGTTCCCTTTTTCCATACTTCCATCTTGGTTATTCCCTTTCCCATTGCACTGTTACCATCCAGAAGCACAGAGCAGCTCCTGAAACTGTTTAGAACCGGTATTTCTCCTCGACTCTCTCTGCTTTCGCTGCCCTCTGAAAAGACGGATTGATGTGGGAGCTGAAGTGGGTTCTAGCTTAGAAAGTAAAATGGCCTTTAAAAAAAAGGTGGGGGGTGAAATAGGGTTGGAAGAAATCCGCAGTGCCAATTTTCTGAATGACTGCTTAGTTCACTGCAGTGTTTGTAGTTAGACCCAGCTTTGAGGTACTGTGGAGTCTCCAGCCCCTAGGAGCATCCCATGAGCAGTTCACAGAAGGCTGCACCTGAAATTCAGACCAGCTTTAGGGTTGATTCTTCTTTCTCCTTCACTCTCTTTCCCCTAAAGGCCAATCCCCTGATTCTGCCTGGGGTGAGAATTGGTTACTTGATTGATGTGGTTCTTTAAATAGTTCCCTGGGCAATGCTCTGGCTGCAGCAGGGCAAAACACCTGGTGAGCTTCGTTTTCCTGAGCATATCCTGTCGAGGAAGCCAGGCATTTGCCACGCTCACCCCTCGAATGCTAACCCTTGGAAGAGATTAATTGACTGTGGGGTCGGTGCGTCACCTTTCCAAGTAGTACGTGTGCTGTACTTACCTTTCATAAGGAGAGTTTTACAGCTCGTTGTAAATACACTACTTGGAGAAAGCTTATGAAATGGTGGGGAAGAATGTATTTTTATGCAACTTTGAGTGGCCTTTCAAACCCTGAGACGAATGATTTGTTTTACTGGTTGTTGTTATATAGTATTATGTGTTTGAAAGTTTGGGAATAATATTCACAGCTATATGATGCTTGTAAACACAACAGTATTTATAAATGGATAAAATAAAACAGTGTTTTAACTTTTGCCTCTGTCTGTCTAGCAGGGTGTATAATGGTGCAAAACAGACCTGATGATTCTCCCTCCCACCCCCTCCCCCCCAGTTAACCAGACACTGGGTAGGTCAGACTTGGGAGGGGTCTTTCCCTTCTGCTGAGCCTCTTACATTAAAGATTAAGTTAAAAGCACAGAAAACGTTCTGTCCCCTTTATCACTCCCGTGTGTCTCAAAGGCTTACCAGAAATTTCCTTCTGGTTTTCTTTTTTTGCAATAGAAATACCTGGTCCTGACTCACTTGAGAGCAGGACAAGCTCCAGTTCTGGCTTCAGCCCATTGTGATCTCCTTGGGAAAGACTGATTCATGTTTGTTGTTTAATTTGATCTGGGGTAACTGACCAGTTTGTCCGTGTATTTAGATAGCTCAGTGGTTTGAGCGTTGGCCTGCTAAACCCAGGGTTGGGAGTTCAATCCTTGAGGGGGCCATTTAGGGAACTGGGGTAAAAATCTGTCTGGGGATTGGTCCTGCTTTGAGCAGGGGGTTGGACTAGATGACCTCCTGAGGCTCCCTTCCAACCCTGGTATTCTATGATTCTATTGGAAGCACAGTTATTCTAGTTCAGCAACGTTCTAATAACGAACAGTTGGGTCCAGTTCCCCAGCAAAAAGAGGGGAGTGAGATCTCCATCATTCTGATTTTTCTGTCGTTAAACAAAACCCAACTTCTTACAAGCAAAGGCCCTTAGAAACATCCTCCATCCATAAAGTGGTAGCAAAGAGCACTAGTTCACCTTTAACAATAAGCTATGCAATTGAGCTGTGCACCATAAGCAGCTTCAAGGACAACCTCTGCAAAGCAGCTGCTCAGACCCTGCATACAAGGCAGTAAGAAGAGTGAGAAATGCTCAAGGTTTTTTTTTTGGGGGGGGGGCAGGGGAGTAGACATGGAAAAGGTGGAAACCCATCCCTTAATTCTGGGGTAAAAGTGGGACTGGGGCCAGGCCTGAATGACAGTACAGCTGTTGTTCAGTGGAGAGAGGACAGACTTAGGAACACATACAGGGGAGTGAAATTGTAGCCATCAGTTATTGACTGTGGAATCAGGTGAAGCAGTGAAGCTTAAGAGGAACATTCAGCATTTCCCAGAGGTGTCCCATCTTTGCATCAGCTCATGGCAGTTTGCACCCTGCACTAGGATGTTCATTAGCACACGGAGATGAGCCACTAGCCAAGCTTTATGGGCCTATCCCTTTTAAATACACCTCCACACTTCCAGGGGTAGGACCCTGCCTTCCTCCCCACCC